TGGGGGAAATTAGAGAAGGCTTCATGAAGGGATGGCACCTGAGCTGGAAAGAAAGAGGAAGATTAGAATACCAAGGACGGAGTCATAGACTAGAGTAGGTGCTTAATAGATGGTTTATCTGATTATTGTTGTTGTTGTTCAGTCATTTTTTAGTCTGTCTGACTCTTGGTGACCCCATTTGGGGTCTTCTTGGCAAAGATACTGGAGGGGTTTGCCACTTCCTTCTCCAGCTCATTTTACAGATGAGGAAACTGAGGCAAACAGAGTGAAGTGACTTGCCCAGAGTCACAAAGCTCGTAAGTGTCTGAGGCCAGATTTGAACTCAGGAAGATGAGTCTTCCTGACTCCAGAACTGGTGCTCTCTCCACTGAGCCACCCAGCTGCCCCTAATCTCATCATAATAGTGAGCATTTATATTTAGCACTTCAAGGTTTGCAAAGATCTTTACAGATATTATCTCATTTGATCCTCACAACAACCCTGGGAGTTAGGTGCTATATAGAGACCATCATTTTACTGAAAATATAGACAGAAAACCAGAAAAAAAGAAAGGAAGAAAAGAAAAAGAGAAAGAAAAGAAGGAAGGGAGAGAGAGAGAAAGAGAGAGAGAGAGAAGGAAAGAAGGAAGGAAGGAAGGAAGGAAGGAAGGAAGGAAAAGTGGGTCATAGGTGCACCAAATGGTAATGCTGGAAGACACACTGAGAGGCCAGCTAGTTCAACCCCTTCATTTGGCAGAAGAGGAAACTGAGGCACAGAGAGAAGGGATTTATTTAACTGAGGTCACACAGAGAGTGAATGTGTTAGAAGAGCTGAGTCTCCTGAGTCTTACTGTACTATTCTCTATACTCTGCCACGTGGTTTTTTGCGTGATGGAAATTAGCAGAGAGAGCTCCATTAGCCCAATGTTGCCTGGCTGGGAACCCAGTAGGAGACTCCATTTTGCAAAGAGATGCTTTGCTTTTGCGGCCCCCTCCCCAGTGGTAGACAGCAACTGTGAGCAAATTTGATCTCATCCTTCAGACTGTCAGAATTGCATCGCTCTCAGAAACAAGGGATTATCGACCACAAAAAGAGCAGCTCACAATTATGTAGCATTTTCCTCTGGCCCAGTTCTTTCTCCTCTCTGGGCCTCAGTTTCCTCCTCCAGAAAAAGAGGCGCTTGGACCACATAAGCTAGAAATTCCCTTCTAGGCCCTGGTGTGGGCAATGCAGCTATAATCATCTTCTCCATCTCACAAATGAAGAAACTGAGGTTCACTGAGATAAAAAGTCACTTATCTACGGTCACACAGCTGGTAAAGTGTCAGGGCCAGAACTCTAACTCTGGCCTTCTGACTCCAACTTCTTTCCACGAGAGGCTATTATTAATCAGCTTTGCAAACTCACTGGACATAGGGAGGAGCCTAGCTCCTCAGTGGCTTGACTCCCCAACAAGTGAATGGGTTTTTTTCCAAATTATTTTTCCCCTAGGTTGCTAAGTATGGACCATTCCCAGATGAACACAAAGAGGCAGAGGTAAGAAAGATGACAACCTGAAGAAATGACAAGAGCAATCAACAAACACTTCTCAACGAGTATTTATTAGGCACCTACTATATACTCCACCCTGTGCTGGGTGCTGGGGATACAGAGACGAAAGCAAAACAGCCTCCACCCTCGAGAAGCTTGCAGTGTGGAGAGGGGGGAGCCAACCTGTACCAAGACACATGGAAACAAAGGAGAATCTGCAGGGCCAACTAACAGCTGGAGGAGGATCAGGAAAGACTTGGTGCGGAAGTTGGTATTTGAGCTGAATCCTGAAAGAGGAGAGGGGCAGGTGAGGAGGGAGGCTGTTCAGGCAGGGGGCACGGCCAGAACGAGGACAAAGCCACTGCAGATGGCACGCTGCATTTGATGCCAGTCCAGTACGAAGGTGAGTGATGTCTGACAAGATAAAGATAGGAAGGGACCAGGTTGCCAAACAGAGAGAGGAGTTTCGCTTTCCTTCCAAACTATAACAAGAGAAAGTTGTTGAGGGAGGCCGCTCCAGATGGCCTTGTTTGGAAAGCCACACAGGAGTCCCTGCTTCATCCAAGAGTGCCAAGACTGGAGTGTCGTTGAGGAAAACTGGGCTGGCAAAGAGCACTAGAGCCAGAGGGCCCGGGTTCAAACCTTGGCTCAGTTTACTAGCTGCCTTCTCTGGGCCATTCATCTCTTTTCTTCTACAAGAAGAGGGATTTGGAGCTGATGACCTCTAAGGATCCTTACAGCTGGAGATCTCATCGCTAGGGGTGTAAGTCATCCACTGGATGTTATATAGTCTGTCACTAAAACAACGCTAATGTCCTCAAGGCCAGTGTTAAGATTTTGCCACACGAAATAGTGTGACCCCATGGCCAGAGCCCTAACTGGCCATCATGGAGCCCAGAGTACTCCTCAAACTGATGTTTTAAGACAAATTCAGCTGGGGGGGGGGGGGGGGAGACAAGCAGGGAGCGGGGGGGGACCTGGCTGGGAGGTGGGGGAGGGAAGAAGGAGAGGGAAGTACACAGTCTGGCAGCTTCCTATTTTAAATAATCATCTTTGCCAACCTGATGTTAAATTCACTTACTTCTACCTGCTGAAGGAATACAAATATTGCCAGCAACTTGCAACTTTCAGCATCCTGGGACAAAGCCCCATCTCCCTTGCCTAGTTCTGGTTTTGATCATATGCTGATGTTCCCACATGCCATCGGGGCCACTTAAAGTGGTCTGGGGTGAAGTTTCTCCATTCCCCCCACGTCCATCTGATCTCGGCTTGCTTGAGTCTCTGCGCAAAGAGTCTAAGAGGTTCAGAGTTTCAGACCAAAAGCAGCAAGGACGAGCTTGCTAACTGCTGAGGCCGACGACAGTTGTAGTGGGGACACAGAGATGGAGAGAGAGGCACAGAGACAGAAGCCATTTTGGCCAAGGCCTTTGTCACTTTCACAATACTGAATGCCAGAGCCAGCCAGAGCAGATGGGGCTGGCTGCAGCTGCAAACAGCTGGATACTTCTTTCGAAGCAGCCTGGTCCAAAGGCCATCCAGCAGTCTGTCGGCCCGTCAGCGCCAGACTCAGAACTCCAGCTGTTCCAAAGGAAATGCTGGAGAAAAGCTGGATTTTAAGGGAGATTGAGGATGAGGCAGAAGCTGACAGAGCCCACAGGAGAGAACGTGAAGGGCCTTTGATTCTGCCCACAGGCATCTTGAGCATCTGGGGGACGAAGGTCTCAGCCATGTGTTTCACTGAGGGCATAATCCCGAGAAGGGGGAGGCTGGAAAGAATCCTCAGCCTTCCTCTGTCCCCTGCCTTTAACTTTAGCCTCTTCTCCGAGTTTGCTTCTCCCAAGGAATTTCTCTTCTGTTGCAGGTCCAAATGCTGTCCTGAAGGCTGGGCCACACATTGCGAATGGCTCACAGCTTTGGTTTCACCCTTCTGACCTCTAAGCTGGGGAATGGTGGAGGCTTTGTGCCTTGTTTTTAGCTAAGCTGAACTCAAGCTTGGCCACTTTTTGGCTGTGTGACCCCAGGCAAGTCACCTGGCTGCTCTGGGCATGGTTTCCTTCTCTAAGGTGAAGGTGGTAAAAGGACTTGCTTCCCAGGAGCAAATGAGCTGATAGATGGAACCGCCATAGAAATGTGAGCTGTAAAGTGGAGATTCCTGTCTCAAAGGGCCACCGTGGGGCTCTGATGCTCTGCCAGGCCAGACGAGGCCACACACTTCGTAGTCCCTGAACCGCTACCTAACTGACAGCCGAGGTTCTCAATGTTCCCACAATCCCCAGGGGGACTGGAGAGGGAGGCCCTGGGAGCAGGAAAGAGCCCTGCTGCTCCCCTCCCCCAGACTGTCTGTTAGCAGAGGACTACAACTCCAGCTCCAGACGGAGCTGCCCGCCCGGGCACCAATACTGGCAGCAGCAGTGTGGGGAGGAGGGGAGGAAGGAGGGAAGGACTCAGACCCGGACCCCCCTGCCCAGAACACGGGCAACTCCAGTTCTCCCCTTTTCAAGGGCCAGAATGGAGAAAAAGCACCAGGAGAATGCAGGGAAGTGACTGAGTGAGCTTCTCCTCAGTGAAGATGGGGGAAGGGGCTTTGACGCACATGGCAATCACAGCCTTCCCTGACCCCCAGGAGGGGTGATGACCGGTGCTGCTGAGTCCCAGCCGCTGCCAACTACAACAGTATATAGGCCAGGCTCTGAGCCCCCAACAAGGTCCCTGTCTTTTGATGTCGCTAAGCTCCTGGCAAAAGCGTTCCCGTTAACTCCTTGGAGCAAGGCGCCCTGAACAAAGGCTACCCGGCCTTTCTGCTCAGACCCCGGAGCTAAGCCAAGCAGACTCACGCTTGGGAGTTGCAGGGCCCAGCTTCCTAGCCAGTGCAGGAATCCCTACCCCACAGTATCTCCCACAGATGGGCAGCCAGGCCGCTTCAGGGCTGGAGAGCTCACTGTACACCAGGCCCATCACTGGCTGTTCTGAAGGGACAGCTCTGATGCTCTGATGGTTAGAAAGCTCTCCCTTATATTAAGCTGAAGCTGCCTCCCTGCAGACCTCCCCATTTCTCCTAATTATGCCCCCTGGAGGCAGAGTAAGACTAATCAGTGCCTGGACCACATGGCAGCCCGTCAGCATCTGAAGACAGCGATTATGCGACACCCCCCCATACACATACAGTCTTTTCTCCTTCAGGTTAACCATTCCCAGTTTTCTCAACTGATCCTCACATGACACGGGAGGGGTTTGCAGCCCTCTACCCCCCCCCCCAATTGCCCCACAATCTCATTTGGAAGCAGGCCTAAGTAATTAGCCACTCCTATCCCCTCCCCAAGTACTGGCTCCTTACAACTCTGAAAATATCTGAGTTTCTCTTCCCCCCATCACCCAATTCTCAAGTGCCCTCCCACCTCATCCTTGCCAGGGAGCCCTGGGGATCTTGGGAATCCTACAGCCCAGTAGGAAATGGTGTTCCTTTCCACTCCCTGTTTCTGCAATGAACTCACCTGTCCTGCTCCAAGAAGGGGTGAAAAACTCTGCTTTTTCCATCACAGAGGTGCAGGACCTGCCCAGAGATCCACATGAAAACGATCCCAAGTCCTCCCTGGCCAGAGGTGGGAGGGGAGAGGAAAATGGAGCTGCCAAGTGCCTCAACTGGCCTGGCCTCTCTCTCTGAGCTGCCCTCCCCAGCCCACCTGAAGCTGGATCAATCGGGCATGTCTTTTTGGCTGTGGGCAGCCCCCGAGGACAGCCGAGGCTTCTGGGCCAATGGTGGAAAGGTGGCTTTGAGGCAGGGGTGGTTGCTTGGTTTCCCCTCTGCTGACACTCCCTGTCCCACCAACAGGGCCTATGTCAGAAGCAAGCACACGGAGAAGCCAATGTCCACTCCCACTCCTGCTCCACAGAGAGAGGAAATGAGCAGGAACTGGCTGTTTGAGTCAGCTCCCTGGTCTATTGTCACTGCCCAGGCCCCCTTCCTTCCCATGGTCCCCAGGGGGCAGGGAGGGAAAGGAGGAGGGTGAAGAGAGAGAGGCAGTTGTGTGTCCCCCCCCCTTCCTCCTTCTCTTTTTCCTCCTTCCCTGGCTCTCTGTCTGTCTCCCCCCCCCCAACTTCCCCGCCCCTCATGCAACCTGGAACAAGCCTGTGAATTCTGACCCTGGCCATTTCCTGCAGCCAAGAACGTGGCAGGGGAGCTGGGCCCTGCTGTTGACCAAGCAGGAGGAAGAGGCAGCTTAAGGTTGAGGACACTGCCGGTGCCAGGGCCTGGGAAGAAAGACTGGCTTTGCCTGAAGTGGGGGCCCAGAGCCCAGGCCAAGGAGAGCAGACTGCCTGGAGGAGGTCAGGCCAATCCCAGAGAGAGGAACCGTCTAACCCAAAATGCCTCTGCTGCCACCACTGCCTTGGGTGAGAACCCTGTTGCTGTCAGGCTTGGTTCAAATGTGTGTGTGTGTGCTTAATGCCAGGAAGGAGGAAGAAAAGGCCTAACTCCCTTTGAGAGACCACCTGGAAACCCAAAGTAGGAGTCCATTCCGAGCCAGCAAGTTCAAAGGCTAATTCGCAGCCAGCCCCTGTAAGATCATTTCATCCCCAAGATCAGCAGAGGGGACAAGGGGTTGTCAAGGGTGACCTTTTCCTGGTGGGTGAGACCATCCAAAGAGAGGAAAGAGAAATAGCACCAGTTTTGGTCTTGTTTCTTTTCCTGACCTAGAAGAAGAAAGTCAAAGGGAAAAGGGTTTCCTGCGGTCCCCTGAGGTCAGCTTCGGTCCACCGTGCCTCTCACTCAGCCTCTCCAATAAGCCCCAGGACGATTGAAGGGTTTAGTGCCCAGCTTGCAAGCAAAGGGGGCCCTGCCTGGAAGTGCTCTAAGTTAGAGAAAGTGAAGGCTTTCTTGAGAGAAGCAAGGAAAGCCCGAAGAATGAGCAACAGTGACCGATTCGAGTTCCCTTTAACAGAGAAGGACGTCTAACTTGGAACAAGATGCTTGGATTTCTTGATATTTTGCTCAACATTGTATCTCTTTCTTTATATTTATCAATGACGGTGAATGTGAGAGGTTGGGGGGTATAGTGGTTAGAAGACTGGCTTTGAAGCTGGAAGACCTGGGATATCCCTCCCTGCTGCCTCCAAACATGTCCAGGTCTCCTTAAGCTGAATAACCTTCCCATGACCCATCCTAGTTCTCATCCCACATCCTTCCTCCAGTTTGCAGTCAAAGCTCTCGAAGAGGCCAGCTACATACAACATATGCTTCCACCCCCCTTCCTCTCACTCCACAATCTGGCTTCTGACCCCATCAGTCCACTGAAACCGCCCTCTCCAAAGTTACCCATGATCTCTTAGTTGCCAAATGCAGTGGCCTTTTCTCAATCCTCACTCTTCTTAACCTCTCTGCGGCCTTGGACACTGTCAGTCACTCTCTCCCCCTTATATTCTCTTCTCTCTAGGTTTATGGGCCACCCCTTCCTGTCCTTCCCAGTTCTTCTCCTCCCTCTCTGACTGTGCCACCCTGTGGCATCCCTCAGGGCTCTGTCCTGAGCCCTCTGCTCTTCTCCCTCTACACTACTTTACTTGGTGAGCTCATCAGTTCTCATGGTTTGAAGGACCCTCTCTAAGCTGATGATTCCCAGATCTATTTGCCAGCCCTCATCTCTCTCCCGACCTCTTGTGTCTCATCTCCAACCATCTTTTGCATATCTCAAACTGTATGCTCCACAGGCATTTTTAACTCAACATTTTTTTGGGGGGGGCTAGGCAATGGGGTTAAGTGACTTGCCCAGGGTCACACAGCTAGTAAGTGTTATGTGTCTGAGGCAACTCAACATTTTCAAAACTGAACTCACTATCCTTCCCCCAAATCCTCCCTTCTTCCTAACCTCCCCAGTACTGCCAAGAGCACCACCATCCCTTCCATCCTCCAGGCTCCCAACTTGGCTCGTCCTGGACTCTTGGCTCTCCTTCAGTTGCCAAGTACTGTCATTTCCACCTCGGTAACATTTCTCACTCATTGTTCCTTCTCTCTTCTGACGCCGCCACTATCACAGTGTAGGCCCTGATTACCTAATGCCCAGACTGTGATAACACCTTGCTGGTAAGTCCGCCACAAGTCTGTCCCCACTCCAGACACCATCCTCTCGAATGTCAAACTGATCTTCCTAAAGTGCAGCTCCAACCATGTCACCCCTCCTCCCCATTCAGTGATTCACGGTGGCTCCCTATCACCTCCAGGATCCAACCTAATCTCCTCTGTTTGCCTTTCAAACCTGTCACCTCCTCCTACCTCTACAAGCTTATTACACTTTACTCTCTCCCACGCACTCTGCAAGCTGAGCCGGTGGGACTAGACTCCCTGCTGTTCCTCCAAGACATAAAACATTGGGTCCGTCTTCTGACTCCAGGCATGTGCACCGACTGCCCTCCATGCTCTCTTTATTTCCATCTCCTGGGTCCCTTCAAGTCTCAGCTAAAGCTTCATCTTCTGCAAGAAGCCTTTCCCAGTCTTCCTCAATCTTAACGTCTTCCCTCTGAACTCATGTCCAATTTATCCAGTCTAGAGCTGGTTTGCACAGAGTGTTAGCAGGCAGTTTCCCCCATTAGACTGGGAGCTCCTTGAGAGCAGAGACTGATTCTGCCTTTCTTTGTATCCTCCGTTCTTAGCACAGTGGCTGGCACACAGTAGGTGCTTCACAAATGCTAGTTGGCTGACTGACTGACCTCTGCCCCATCCTGGGTGTGACCCAGGGTAAGTCCCTTAGCTTTTCAGTTTACTGGGCGGCTTCTGAGAAGGTGCCTACCAGCGCTGCAGGGAGGAGTTTCCTCACCTGCCAGCACTAATAAAATCCCAGTGCCGATCCTCCCCTTAGACTGGCTAAGCTAACCACACGCTCAGACTGTTCTTTGAGGAAGGGAGCTCCATTTTTCTGGAAAAGGTAAGCTTGAACAGAGGTTGCCACTCCTCCTTCTCTCACTGATCCACTGATCTGCTGGCCCTGGCGCTAATTAATGAGCAGCAACACAGAAAGGCCACAGTTGGCCTGATGGAAGCTACTACAGGATGTGCCTGACAGAACCAAGCCTCCAAGTTACAAAATGTCCGTGGCAGTGCAAGACAAACTCAGTGTTTGTAAGGAGAATTCAGTTCGAGATATCAGCCAAGGAGCAGAGAAGCCCAGGCGTATGAACTGAGTGGGGGCAGCAGGAAGGCGGAAAGGCAAAGGGAGCCGTTTCTAGAAACTGGCATCAATTCAACAGCACCTACTATGTGCCAGGCACCAGCTCGGATGGCAGCATGGGTTCATTCATACTGGCTCTGGTCAGGCATGGGGGGGAGGGGTGCAGCTGCTGGCCAAGGTGCTGCCCCTTTTGGCTCTGCTCAGGCATTCCTTGGTCAACATCACTGTCCTCCCCGCCCAGTCTCAAAGATTCAGAGAGATGCAAAGAGCTCCTCTGCAGGCACAAAGGCTAAAGGCCACCTAAGCCTCCGGCCCCGGGACAGTGTGGCACAGGGAACCTGCTACTGGGAAGGTCTGGCTGGGGTTGGCATGACACTTAGCTAACTGTGTAGCTTGGGCAAGTCACCTCTCTGAGCCTCAGTTCCCTCATCTGTAAAATGGAGCTAATAGTACAGGAGGTAGCTGCCCCCTAGGACTGGCAGGATCCCGCAGATGAAGGGTTTTGCTCCAGACCTGTTACTCATCCAGGACGGGTGTGGGGAGGCTTTTGTGAGGGGACTGTCTTCTGCCGGGGTGCTCAGACCGGGCTGTGAGAGCCCTCGGCACCTCAGCCCCCTTCTTCCCTTTAGTTTCCCTGGCCCTATTTCTGCATAAGACCCATCTCTGTACTGCCCGCTGCGCCCCCTCCCCCCACCCCACCCCCACCGAGCCAGGGGCTCGGGCTGAGGAGCTCGTTACTCTGGTTTGTTTGGTCCCTGACTCCCCTGAGCCCTCCTTCCTTCCTTCCTTTTCCTGCAGCCTGTGCTGACTTCCCTGCAGTCGCTGGGTTCCCAGCAATCTCTGAGCCAGCCAGATGTTGCCTAAGAGATTGTTCCTGGCCAATGGGAACGCGACTCTGCTTCTGCGGCTGCAGAAATGATGCCAGATCCGTAGCCCCCCTGCGCGGGCCCTCCCACCTCATCTCATCTCCAGCTACCTAGGACAGGGCAGAGGCTGTGGTTGGCCCCCTGCTTTCCCCTTCAGCCCTGTGCCATCCCTGACTCCTGGGGCCAAGGCCCCGAACGGTCCAAGGCCTGGTCTTGTCTCGATCCAGGAGAGTTTCTCAAGCACCCGCTGTGTGCCAGGCACTGCGCTCCAGGTCTGAAGTCCTTCGCCTGCGAGCTCCCTCCCCAACCCTCCTCTGACCTCACCTGGCCTGCTCTTTGCCAAGGCTAGCCCTCCCGTGTTTGCACCTTGATCCCTCAGTCACTCCACTCCTTTCATCTTCAAGCTCGGCGTCCCCATTGCCTCCTCTCTCTCCACAGATCTGCTCACATCTACTCTAGTTTAGAGGCAGGTAGGTGGTGCAGTGGATAGCGCACTGGGCCTGCAGTCAGGAAGACCTAAGTTCAAATCTGGCCTCAGATGCTTCCTAGCTGTGTGACCCCAGGCAAGTCTCTTACCCTTATTTGCCTCAGTTTCCTCATCTCTAAAGTGATCTGGAGAAGATCTTTGCCAAAAAAGAAAAAAAAAACCCACACGGGAGTGATGGACACAACTGAAGAACAATTCTAGTTTAAGCCTCCAAATCAAAAAGCCTCTCTTTTGGCTGGCCCTTCTAGTCGCACCTGAAAACTGTGGGGGTCTCCCAACACTGCCCTGGGCCCTCTTCTCCACATCATTTCACTTAGTGATCTCATCTGTTGCCATGGACTTAATTGGGCAGCTAGGGGGCGCTGCAGTAG